TGTGTGTGTGTGTGTGTGTGTGTGTGTGTGTGTGTGTGTGTGTTCCTATTTTCTTTGGACAGTCTTGATTCTTGACTGGTGTCCCAATATAATTATTAACAGTATGCTTTTCATTTAAAAATGATTTTAATAACATATCAATTGGTCACATACCCATAGACACAAAATGTCTAGCTTGTGCCCCAAGTTACCTTGATGACCTCAGGCAGGTGCTTCCAGATTCTTTCTAGCACCTCCACTGTTAGCCAGGTGTAAGGACTGGAGGGCATATTTAAAGCTTTAATCTGCTGGTCTAGCTCCAATAAATAGTTGAAGTCCTCCTGAGCCACAGCCAGAGAGGCCAAGAAGGCCTCGTGCTCCTTCTGCAGCTGCCGAATCTCATTCAGAGAGACACAGTGCACTGGCTCTGACAGGTCCTCTTCAGCATTCTCACACCAGTTGTTAAAAGCTGATGCTTTGTGTGCAAATTCCATGAATAGCTCCTCAGCCTGCAGAGAAAAAATGAGGACACTTCCAATTTTCTGTAAAGCCCCTCAGCCATTGAGAATGTTCAAGATAAAAATAGTGGCTATCTTTAAATATTTGCAGAGAAGCAATCTAAAATCTAAAATGGTGAAGCTGGAGGTTGGAGAGATGGCTCAGCAGTTAACAGCACTGGCTGCTCTTGCAGAGAACCGGGGTTCGATTCCCAGCACCCAGATAATGGCTAATAGCCATCCATAAGTCTGGTTCCAGAGAAATCCATGCCCTCTTCTGACCTCTACAGGCACTGCACAACATGGTTGCACTTTGATACATGCAAAGAATGCGCTTATAAACATTAAATAATAAATAAATAAATAAAAAATAAATAAATAAAAAGTATTTTTAAAAAATAAAATGGTGAATCTAAAATCAGCCATATCATGTGATCAGAGGGACTGAGCATGAGTTAGAGGAACTTCCCTGGGCTTAGCACTTTCTTGTTTTTAATTAATTAATTCATTAATATTTTTATATGTATGAGTGTTTTGCCTGTAGGTATGTAGGTTCATTCATGTCATGCAATGCTGGTGGATGCCAGAAGAGGGCATCTGACCCCCTGGGACTGGAATAATGGACTGTTGCTAGCCAAAATGTGGGTGCTGGGAATTGTACCTTTGTCCTTTGCAAGAGCACCCAGGGGTCCTTTGCTCTTACCTGCTGAGGCTGAGCCACTTCTCCAGATGTGTAAAATCTTCCACAATTTACACATGAAGAGGAAAGCTAAAGTTCTTTCCCCTCTGTGATTCTAGGGACAGCACAGATATTTTTCTATTACATTATTTCTTATTCTGAAGTCTGTGCTGTAATTCTACCTACACCATAGGAAATATTGAGAAACAAGAATTAAACAAACAGCTGGACAAAAATAACTGAATAGACAAACCAGGAAATCTGTTCTATCCTGTATGGACTCCCTCTTTCCACCAGGATTTGCAGACCACATACCACCACTATCCTTTGACCACAGGAAATCTCTGCCAGGAATTCTTTATATACATTGTTGCAACTTCATCTGGCGACTAACTGAAACTTTAGAAAGCACTGCTTAAGGGCTGAGGAGATGGCTCAGCGGTTAAGAGCACTGACTGCTCTTGCAAAGGACCTGGGTTTGATTCCCAGCACCCACACAGTGGCTACAAACCGTCCTTAACTCCAGTTCCAGGGGAATCTGAAGCCCTTCACATCCATTCCCCCCTGTCTGCTCTTCTGGTAAATCTAGTCAGCCAGAGGTCCCTGTTCCAGGAGGGTCAGCTGTTCCTCATCTACGGCAAACCATTGTCAGTATTCCTTTGGATAGAATTGGGGACCCCAATTCATTAATATTTTTATATGTATGAGTGTTTTGCCTGTAGGTATGTAGGTTCATCCATGTCATGCAATGCTGGTGGATGCCAGAAGAGGGCATCTGACCCCCTGGGACTGGAATAATGGACTGTTGCTAGCCAAAATGTGGGTGCTGGGAATTGTACCTTTGTCCTTTGCAAGAGCACCCAGGGGTCCTTTGCTCTTACCTGCTGAGGCTGAGCCACTTCTCCAGATGTGTAAAATCTTCCACAATTTACACATGAAGAGGAAAGCTAAAGTTCTTTCCCCTCTGTGATTCTAGGGACAGCACAGATATTTTTCTATTACATTATTTCTTATTCTGAAGTCTGTGCTGTAATTCTACCTACACCATAGGAAATATTGAGAAACAAGAATTAAACAAACAGCTGGACAAAAATAACTGAATAGACAAACCAGGAAATCTGTTCTATCCTGTATGGACTCCCTCTTTCCACCAGGATTTGCAGACCACATACCACCACTATCCTTTGACCACAGGAAATCTCTGCCAGGAATTCTTTATATACATTGTTGCAACTTCATCTGGCGACTAACTGAAACTTTAGAAAGCACTGCTTAAGGGCTGAGGAGATGGC